TTTGGTTGTTATGACATTTTCAATTCGAATAATTTCACAAGCAAGTTGCCAAAGGTAGTTACACAAATGGATCTGTGATTGTGATTTATGTGAAATGCATTTGCACTATTTTTTTAATGAGGATTTACCGAGTCTTCTTCATAGTAGTGTTTGATTTGAGTAATGTGAACACAATATTAAGGAAGATGATAAAGTTTATACTGTTACCAATTAAGGTTTGCTTAATTTTGCTTCAGGTTCTTTGTTAAAATCTAAGCTTGTGACAGCATTGCAAGGAGGACTTTTGAATGGATGGATTTTTCTTTGCATCAACTATAGAAGATTTATTTACTTTTCAAGTTCCTCTTTATTTAACTGGAACTACAGTGATTACAAAATTCCTTTTTTATATGTTATGTATTATCGTAATGACAATTAAAATGTTTTTGATACAAGTGTAGATGAATAATGACACGATAGACAAACCAAAACTCAAAAGTCACTTTTTTTGCATTGGAAATTAAAAAATGTTCAAAAATACACAAATATACGTGTTGGGCCCGTGCTGGCACGGGCCATGCCCATCTAGTCTTCTTATCTTCTTCTTTCTTATGTATAAGCCAACAAGAGTTGGACCAACTCTGCAGTAAGAACTTGTACAAAAAGCAGTGTATATTGTACAGTAAATTTAGCTTAGCATGTACACTTTCATAATAAAACAATAAAATGTATGAATAAATAGGACAGCTGGCCTCACGATGCTTATAGGAACTTGTGACATCTGTTGTTTCTCTATGATATATATAATATATATATATTCCTTATGTATAAGCCAACAAGAGTTGGACCAAACTCTGCAGTAAGAACTTGTACAAAAAGCCAGTGTATATTGTACAGTAAATTTAGCTTAGCATGTACACTTTCATAATAAACAATAAAATGTATGAATAAATAGGACAGCTGGCCTCACGATGCTTATAGGAACTTGTGACATCTGTTGTTTCTCTATGATATATAATATATATATATATATATATCCTATTCCTTTTCATTTATCTTTGTCCCAGCTTGAACAAAAATTGTTCTGCAAAATGAAAGGCCCCATCTGAAATTTCCAGTGGAACTTTAGCTACCCTAGGTATGCTTTCCTCTTGCCTTCTTTCTTTCTTCTCATTTTAGTTTTTAATTTGCTTTACCTTAATTCTTTCAATCACTCATGTTTAATAGTTTTCTTTTGTTGTCATAGCGCACTTCTTTCCCGAGATTTAGTTTTGTTTTCTTTCTTTTGGTTTTAGGTCACCTTTTGTCAATTTTTCATTTGATGGGTTTGAATTTGTTTTTCCAATTTTGGTGTTTGGGTTGTGTTAACGTTGCATGCACTGAATTTAAACTTGATTGGATGTTGTTATTGCTGTCGTTCTCTCCTCCATTTCTCCGTCGTCCCCTATTTGCAGCTTTGTATTTCAATTATTTTTGTTTTCTTTGTTATTGAAATGTAGTATTTCTTCAGCTTTGTTCTTGATGTGACTATTTTTTCAGTTTGTTATTTTTTCATATAGGCCTTTGCATGTACTTCGACAAGAAAGGGAAGAAAAGAAATTGAAAATTCTGTTATTTTGATATTGGAAACATCTTAATTCCAAAATTCCAAGCATTTTCAGGTACATCGATCTTAATTCTGATATTTTTCTCTTCAGACAGAAACACTTTTAACTAAAATGGTGGGGGATAATGCACAAGTAGCCCTCAACCTATGCCTGAAATCTCAAAGACATACTTATACTATACTAATGTCCTATTACCCGAAATTATTTTATAAATAATTTTCTATCCCTTTTCGGCCTACGTGACATTATCTTTTGGGCCCAACACGTGTTGGTTGATAGTGCCACGTAGTCCGAAAAAGGGTAGAAAATTATTTATAAAATAAATTCGGGGTAATAGGACCTTAGTATAGTATAAGTGTGTCTCTGAGATTTCGAAATAGGATCTAAAACCAAAAAAAGACTTACGAAGTCCAGCAGATTTCACCGCTCATTGAAGAAGATGATGAGAAAGTGAGAGGAAAAAATGAGATCGGAAAAAGCAAAGTGAAAGAGGGAAAAAGGGCAGAAAGATGGAGAGAGAAAAGTGAAGGTTGAAATACACTTGTTAAACAAATAGATCATCAAAATTTTAAAAGTGCCAAAGAACTCGCAGTTCAAAAAAGTCAACACTATAAAGGAATCGAAATAAAATCTCTCAAAATTTGAGTGCAAGAAGATAAATCAAAGGAATAAAGGACAGAATTCAAAGTCATATAAAATAGTGGAAAAAGCATGAGAAAATAAAGAGGCAAAATAGTTTATTTCGTTTCTCATGAAACCAATTAGCATTCAAATACTCAAGTGTGGAGATGCATTTATGTAAGTATATATTGAAAACTCTCATTTTTAATTTATGATGTGTAAACAAGACGAGTAGACGAAGAGCTCAAAGGAATGAAGTTAAAAATACATCTATATCCCTATTGCTGCAGAGTTTTTTCATCAGGCCAAGAAGATTACTAATTTTCTTTTATTATTTTCCTGATATCGTATTTTTTGATTTTACTGTCTTATATTTGACTATTGTTTATCTATTTTTTCACTACTGTATTTACTTAACATATATGATTCGTGATATGCTTTTATACTTTTGAGTTAATGATTTATCGAATAAGAAGAAAGGCTCAAATCTAGATACATAAAGAAGTCTAAAAGAAAAATAAAATCAAAGGTGTTATTTTTAGAGAAATTCAGAATTATACCTCCATTTGGAAACATGATCAACCTTTTTAACTTCAAATGGTAAGAGGCTATGAAAAATGGATATAAATTAATAACAATGAGAAAAGTACTAATTTATCAACAACAAAAAAAAGGGTCCATTACCAGCGGAGTACTCTCATGGCATAATCCATCATCTTCAAAATATTACCAAGGAATTGATTAAAATAATAATATTAATTAAATGTGTCGAGACCTGAGAACTGATCTTATAAAAGGGCTACTGGCTACTATTGTGGCCAACCTTTAAGTCAGTAGTTCAATCTAGACTACAATTGACATTTTCTTCTTCAAAGTTTCATAAATTATTTGACCATTAAGGATTTTAATAGGAGACGGAAACACCCTTTGAAGGAATCAAAAAGACAGAATCGAAGTTTGAGGGTGAGGGAGATGAACGGCAATCTTGGAATTATGGGTCTGTTTTCATAAATTATTTCCCAAAATGATGAGCTGTTAAATTTTCCTTATTTTCATAGCCCCGTGTGGGAAGCGCAATATTCCTCCCTCTTCGGTTTATTGAACGTATATACACTCAAACAGTTGCTGCATATAAGGGAAATTCTTTGAAAGCACATAATATATAGCTCTATTGGCACTTGGACCCGTAATTTACATTATCAAGTTACTGGTTTAATTTCCCTGTTGGAAATGCAGCTGAATCCTAATGTTGAATGTTAATCGGTAAGCACATAATATATAGCTCTACAGGCACTTGAGCCCGCACATGCAAGTAAATTTACATTATCAAGTTGTTGATTTAATTTTCCCGTTGGATATGAAGTTGAATCCAAATGTTGAATGCTAACGGGTGCAGATTAACACAAGCTATAATGTACCTATATGATAAGTGAGGTTTTCACCAGTTGTTCTGCTCTCTCTACTCTTTTTCCCAATTTCATATATGTAATTTTCCTTTGCTTTGGGTAAATTGAGCACCAATACCTGTACTTTAATCCCCAATTTGGGTTACTTTTGAAATGTTTTCAGCGGCTATATATAAATCCATGTTCTGACGGAGGAAGGTTTGATCTTAGAAAATGCATTTCTATACCTTTTCTTTTTTAATGAGGAGAAATGCGTGAAAATGAGAAGTTACATGCGGGTCTGTTTACAAAGCAATAAAACAATAAAGAAATGGAAGTGATATTGATCAAATTGCATTATCACTTGGTATTCTCTCCAATTTTTTAATAAGATTTCGAGATATTGCATCAATTCAACATTATTATTCATTTCTGGTGCGACAGCTCTCTCTGTTAGTTCGGTGCATCTACCAGTGATAATGGTCAAATGGGTCAATTTGCTGATCTCCACAACCAACTCCACAAGAATGTTGGAAAGAAATAAAGATATTTCAAGTCTTTGAGAAGGTAAATGTTATTTTTTGGTGTGTCAAAACAAGGAAGTCATATTTGTTGCTTCAGAAATTTCGCCGCTTTTGTTTATTTGTTTTTGGTGTGTCAAAACAGTCGGATGGCATAAATAATGTTACGAATGGTTGCAAAATACTTCCAATGTTATGCATTTTTTTTTTCAAGAGATGATTCAGTATGAAGTAATATATGTTTTGTTTCAGGTGATGGAAGAAAAATAGTATCTGGCATGGCACGACAATTGAAGGAGTCACATACTTCTATTTTGTAGCATCACGGCATCTATTTGGTACCGTTTGATGTTTTATTCTCTTTCAGTTGGCTCTCTCTTTTTGATCAGATGTCTAATTTAATTGTCAAACCTTGCTTAATTTATATGTTGCCACATATAGTTGTAATTTTATCTGTGAGTAGATATTTGGAGTCCATTTATGATTTATATATAATTTAGCAGCTTATGATGCTCCATTTTGATTATATTATTGATCATATCCCGCAGGTTCACAAAAGACATTATGACCAACAAAAAATTGTTTGAGTATTAAAATAAACTCCAGAGAATTCCGAGGTCTCTCATCTGATGTTAGAACTTCATGTGGCCAATTCAAAGGTACTTCCTGAGCTATTAAATTCAAGGAGTAGTTCTTCAACCTCTATTTCTTTTCCTTCCTTGGCGATTTCATTTGGTTGCATTGCGACTTTGGGTCCCATGTTGGATTCCAAATATGACTTGAAGAACGACCCAAGCAGCTATGCCTGCAAGGTGTTCGCTGAAATGCCCGATAAGAAAATTGACATGGAAGTCGAACATCCAGTGATAAATGATTCAGCAAATTCAGCATCCCATATGTTTGATGAAATTTTTCAAACGATTTCTGCATTTAAGGGAGAGTACGGTGACCTTATCATGTTTGATAATAGTTGTCTTGCACTACCTTGTTTGCCTTCGATTTTTAGTTGCACCCAACTTATGGGAAGATCTATATTTTATTACTTCAGGGAATTCGGTCATGCTAACCTCCCATTATCGTTGTATCGATTTCCAGCTGATCAATTTGGGTTCAGCTTTCCGTTTGATCCTGGTTCTAGTTTGCTCCCTGTATTTCTTGGTGTTGCAAACTATTATTCACGCATGGGTGTGGATGATTTCAAGGAGCTTATTAGGATAATCACATGTCATATCAACTCCATTTCCAATGCTCACTGTATTTTGCCTCAATTCCCATTTGATCCTGGTGCGAATCTATTCATTATATCCCCTGGTGGGTGCTTACAAGTTTTTACATTGCAACTTGAGGCATCTAATTGGGATCTAGCAATATGTTCCATGTCCATGGCTCTAATAGAGTTGACAGCAAAGCTGAGTGTATTTCCTTGGAGAAAGACACTCTTTGTTTTGCTCGTTGCAATGTCAAGGTATTATGATGACGATCTTTGGACACCATTTGATAGTGCAGATACATTGCAGCTGCAACGCCTTATATCACTAAGGTTTGACCCAATGCGTGGGGCAAATGCAATTTCTTCCTGTTTTTTAGTCTCTAGAGTGATCATGTCAGAAGCGGAACTTGACAATTATGGACAGCTCTGTTTCAGTTTGCTGCTCTTGATTGTGGTAAAAAAAGTGTTTCAACAGCAACTCGACTTCAAAGTGCTTACAACGTGTTCTCCTGAGATGGTTGAATTGCTTAATGATTATTAGATTAGATATTTTAGAAATCCAACCAGTGACGTCTTTGATGATGCACTAGTCGTTGCTCTGTATCATAATATTCTAGATGTTGCTGGCCAAATTTACAGAGAAGGAAGTGCACAAATCCTTCCTGGGATGAACACATCCTAGTCTGCATTTGGAATCTGTCCAAATTGGTGGTTTCAATTAATGACACTAAGAATGTGGATACACCATTTGTGTCTCAACATGAGGCGGCCTATTCAAGAAATTGTGTAGGTTGGGTCATTGACATGTCTCTTCATAGGGATATAACTAGCTTTCTGATTCCTTTAGCTAACAAGGAATACATAGTAACAAAGGGCTATATTGCACCAAAAGGGCATACGAAGTTGCTAGTGAGTGTTATATCACATATCTACGATGTTGAGATTATGTTATTTGAGTCACTTTATCTCCTAAAAGCTGAAGGTTGGAGTCTCCCTGTGATAATTTGGAGCACTGTACTGCTCATTGGTAAAGTTGTAAGAGAACTGCCTACACCTGCTTCTAACTTGCTGATGTTAGTATGTATAGCTTCCTTAATAGCTCCAATGAGAATCCTCACAATGATATCAATTTTGTACTACTTGAACCTTGAGGACAAGGTTCTTATTGGGGCCGAAGGTATTGTTATGAATGGGCCTAGACCAGTATTGACAAAGCAGCCCAAAAACTGGATTAAGTGGCTATGTGTGGGATCCGGGTTGATAAATAGAGACTTGGAGAGCAAAATAGGTTTATGAAAATTGTTGAGAAAAATGTCTAGTCCTCTCATCCCCTTTCTCTGAGTTCACTTCTCATCCCTTTCTTCTTAGTGTGTTCTTCAATTCCCTTTTAGTTCTTAAATTCCTTTGTAATTTCAATTACGAGTTTGTGAATAAATTTATCGGTTGTTTGAATTTGAATTGTGTTGGTTTTGCTATTGGGTTTTTTACACATTCATATCTCCGTTGATGCGACCTTGAATCACCGGTGACCACCGCCCGCCGAATCCACCCAGAAATCACCCACAAAGCCACCTTATCCCTTTTAAGTTTGATCCATTTATACTAACTCAAAATATTATTTGTTCTCAAACTCTCTATATTTGGAAAACGATTCATGGAGCTATGGATTCTTCAATATTTAATTTGTTTTTGGTAGACACAATAACATTCCTTTTCTCTTCTGCGTTCCTCTCTCTTGCTTGATCAGTTCCTCCATGGCGACCAAGGTAAAGCACTAAATTTTTACTTCGATTTCTAACTAGCCTCTAACACTTACTTCTTCATGTTCTTTTATTTGTTCATGCATAAGTTTTTTTGGTTTCAGGTCTCCTTTTGTCGATTAACCATTCGATTAACTTGATTTTTGTTTCAATTTTTCTGCTTTATTTAGTGATTGGGTTGTATTGTTGTTGCATGCACTGAATTCATGTTTCATGGGTTGTTTACAAGGGTTGCCGGTCCTTTTGCTCTCCTCATTCTCTCCATCTTCCCTTATTTACAACTTATTCTTTCAATAATTGTTTTTCCCTTTATTCTTGGTTATTGAAATTTTTAGGATTTCTTTTGTCGATTTATTACTTGCAGATGTGGGCATTTGCATTTACTTTGAGGAGAAAGTAAAGTTGATGAAACTTCATACCCAGAAACCTCTCAGTTTCTCAGAGAAATTGTTATATAGCAGGTACACCTAGCTTAATTCAATATTAAAAGAATATCAAAATAAAAGTACGCTACTATGTGTAATTGTGTTTGATGTATATAATGTTGATTATTTTCTGATGAATATTGTTCTTTTCTTTTTTACTCGTGGTGATTTGTTATTTGGTCACATTTCTGTTTTTACTTTTTCGATTGGTAGTAGTCCATTTGAGTTTAATGTGTTCATATGAAGTCGAAGATCTCATTCTTAAAAAAATAATTAACATTCTCATAAAAATATGAAGTTGAAGATCTATTTCCTAACAAAAAACCTTTTAGTTTGAATATGAAACTCTACAGAATTATGAAGTTTTGATTTTAGTAATTTTATTATTTCTTTAAGGGAAATTATCATACATATGGGTATAATCTTTCTTCCTCTTTATCAATACTGTCTCGAACCAATCATACATTTATATTCTTTTCCATCTGGATTTGATTTGGAAATTTGAACTATAATTGCATGACAAATTTGTGATTGATTTAATTGTTTGAGTTTTTTAATGTGATTATAAATGTTGATAATGAAGCTCTTAATAACTGTGCTATAATTTGTTCGGCCACATCAATCGATCATTACTTTGAGGTGGAGTTTGTATAGTGTTCATTGTTGGAGACTTGAGTTTCAACAACTTGGTGGTGAGCTTGTCGAAAGTCTATTAAATTTGAAGGGCATGTAAAGTAGAACGACATGAAGATACTAATAAGTACATATATATAAAGAAAAATGTTTCTTTGCATCTCTGTATCACTACATTACTCTTACTATGTGAGTGCCAATGGTCCATCGATCTCTTCAGTAGCCTTTCCAAAAATGCTCAAGCCCTTTTCTTTCATTCGAAAAAAAGCAGAAAGTAGCCTCAATTAAAAAACAGTCTTGCATGTTAGATACCTGAACAGAAAAATAAGGTTCATTCTTTTGGCGATCTCTTTTCAATTTATATCCAGTGAAAATTACATATTCTTGACATGTAATGCAAATATTAGTTGATTTGCTATATATATATATATAGACGTACAAAATTACTACATATTAAGATTTTTTTTATATGTCCATTTTAGTATTAACTTTCACGTCTTCCTATGTTAACTTTGTCTTAACCTTCATGACTTCCCCTTTAATATATATCTACATCTATGTATATATAAAGAAAAATGGAAGAAGATGAACTCCACATTTCTTTAAATTTCTGTTATATAGAAATCTGGAAAAAAGATCCCATGTTTATTATGTGTGCTTATTGACGATGGCCTCGGTCATCTTTATTTTCTTCACAAATCATCTGCTTGGTAAACCATATATCACTTCTTGAATTTTTTTTGTTTCGATTTTTACATGATAGTTGCTTTCATTCTATTTTACTTCCTTCCTATTCATGATTTGTTGATCTTGGTTCTTTTATAGATGTGAGTCATTGTGTTCAATTTATTTGACAAATTTTATATTTGATTTATCTTTCATTCCATCCATAAATTTTCATCTCAGGAGAAATTTGAATTAAGCTATAATAGATGATCGACTTTGAATACTCCCCTATGTTGAGGATTTAATTATACTTTTTAAATTTATTTTCCTTTTGTGGTGGTTCTTAATTATTTGTTTTCAGTTGTAATTTGTGCAATAGTATTGGGTGGATAAGATCTTTCATTTTCAACTTTGTCTTATTGACTGTTCGAGAGAAATGAGATAAAATTCTTACTACACTAATTTTAATGAATTCATATAAATCCAACAATTGTATATATCTATCATAATATGAAGCTTGGATTTGATCATATTTGTGGAAGATATATATGCAAGTTAACTGAAGAATCTGCACAATATAGGTTGAAGAAGCCAAGTCCAATATCAATTTTGTTGTGGATTATGTGAGTTGTTCGACTTTTAATTTCTCACTACATGTATGCTGATTACTAAATTATTCCGAAGTTAGTTGATGTTTTCTTTCTACATGAACACATGCAAAATTTCTGATTATTGCAGATAGATTTGGCACACCTATATTGGAACAATACAATATGATGAACATGGTTATAAAGGAGCAACAAATATTTCACTATGTCAACTGCTTCAGAACTTGAGCTAATAAAGCATACAATGATGTTCAAGTTAGTACTTATGTGAATCATGTTGTCTTTACTTCTAATTTATGCTTGACATTATAATCTATTTTTTAACCGAGAAACTTGCATATTTTTAAAAGGTGAGAAAATTTCATGCTTGGTAGAGTTGAAGTGAAACTACTTATAAAAATGACCTGTCTTGATGCTGAAGATAAAAGAGTACTACAAAGAGAGAATTGGTGTAGAGTCAGTTGGCCGAAGACTATTAGTAGGTTTTGATTATATTAGCAGGTTAATAAGTTATATATTGACTCTTTCACAGTAATGGATTGGCCGAATTCAAGTTTTGCTTCACCTACCATTTGTATTATGTTTTTGTATTTGTTTTGTCTATTTTAATGCTTGCATGTTTCTTCGTTTTTATTTTTGAACTATGTTAAAA